GACTGTTTTAATGTTGGATCTTTCAAAGATCCTTGACTGACTAAGAAGAATATAAAACGTAAACTGTCATTGTGTCATTCCAGCGTTCTAGTTCACCTCTCTTTCCTTTGCTGTTCCTTTTTCATGCAAATTCCAAGGGACTGAGAGTTAATAACATATTTCATAAGAAGAAAATTGTGAATGCACGTATATTTTAACGTCAGACGCTGAAACAAGGAATTCAGGATGTCCTGAACAAGTGACTCGCAGAACTTTCAAACACTGTGGGTTATGCCACCGTGTATTCTGGTAGAGACTACACGTTGTCAAGCCAAAAGATCACAGTAATAATCTTCACTTTCCTGATGCATCAAAATCTCATGTAATGTAGTAGGATCGAGAAATTAAGGAAATTACTGTGTTCTGGGATGTAACGCCGTGTAGCCTGATAGATTATTACGGACATTTCTGTGAAACGTACTGCCTGTACGGGATAGAATAATACTCTGAGCATGGAGGCAGTACGTTCCACGAAACATCAGTAACAAACTGCCGTACTATATGGGCTCATAGCAAAAGATATGCTAACAATCACCCCCGTAAGAAACTCAAATCTCCTAAGAAACAGTTGACTCCGCTCAATATCAGATATTCCTCGCCCGGGTCTTGAACCCAGTACTTTCCTTCGTCACTGCCAGACTCGTGAGAAGAATCGCAGTGGTTACCCATGGACACGGCGGTTTGTACATGTTCGGCATCGGCAAGTACCTCTGGTTTGTTCAGATGTTAACCACTGCTGGAATGTTGTCAGATCTAGCATAACACTGTGCTTAATCACAGAAGGAAACCAATTCGTACTACACCGAGCCTTTTTAAATATGACGCAACGTTCCGGCCACGTGGAGACTTGACGTCAGCAGGAAACAATCACACGTCTCGCGTGTAGAAGAGTTTCAGGAAAGATTCTCAACTCAGTTGTAAAGGTAAATCAGTACTATTACGTGTTTCCTGTTAGGCGTATCTGTTGTGTAACCCTCATTTTCCTCTTCATGCAGATTTTATGCTTTGTTAAACTCGAGTGTGAGCAGACATGGATAAATCAGTAAGGTGAATTGTTACGGGTTTGACAACAGGGTTCGATTCTGTGCAAAGGCAGAGAATTTTCTTATCATTACGTCCCGACCAGCTGTAGGCAACACGTAACCTTCTGAACTGCTTCCGGCGTATTTCCCGGAATAACGCGGCCGAAATTAAAGCCGACCACTCACCTCCAGTTAATTCGCGGAGCTTTTCTTCCTCATGGCACGGCGCTTTGTGGTATATACATATTTTAAGGTGGATACATTTCATGAACAAATGCGAACGGACGAGTATGCGTTTGCGTGCTGGTCTTGTTCCCTGCGCCGTTCACACTGCATAGAGAATTCGCATCTCCTGATCGGGTCTGTTCACCATGTTTGCTACCGAATATCATATCAGCTTATGATAGCGGATGTGCTTTATCGCTGGCCACTCCTGAACACGAATTCACTTTCACGTGCTGCTCTGCTAGACAAACAAAGCGAAAGCGAACGAATGCATCAGTTAGCGTCCATTACGCAGTAAGAAACTTGATGAATTTGTCTGTTCGTTCGGCAACTTTAGAACGCCGCTTCTACAATCGATTCAACGTCGTTAACGATTATTCGATTAATTTACGAAGCTGTTAGCTGTTCAGTTGCTGGAACTAGTTAGTAATGACGTTTCGGAGAGTTGTTTGCGAAAGATGTCGTGTCTTATTCCTGGTGGCAGTGAGGAAACCCACGAACTCGAGGCGCTGGATTCGAAGTGAGTACCTCCGAATGCAAATCACTCTAACCCTAAGCCAACCCGGCCGGTAATAAAACAAAATCTTAATGGTGTACTCATGTGGAGTACATATTGATCATTTTTGCAACTTCGCCCTATTGCGAATTTGCATCCTGTATAGTACTGACGCTCGTTTATTGCAGAAAGAAATCAATGTCCGTGTTTCTATGGCCGCTTATCCAACTTGTACTTCTAAAGTCTCTTGGAAAAACTAAATGTTAAAAGTTCGTGTGGTTTGAGGGTCAGTTTGTGATGCCTTCGCTAACTAGAAGAGTGGCGAATTGTATATGACTGATCAGTGAATTAAACTGATATGGAGAGAAGCGGTTGTGCGTAACCGCGATGCTGTTCAAACATTTGCCTGGAGAAACAGGATAAAATCAGCAAAAACCTGTCAACATAGTCGGTGGCTCGGTCGGGATTCGTACCCTGCTCTTCCCGAATGCAAGTCTTGATCAACACCACTAAACTAACTTTCTCGGTAAGATATTGTAAGTTAACCCAACATACCAGCCTTTGTTCGTAATGCTACTCGGGACTAAAATTATTACAAACTCCGTGATCTGTAGTCCGCAAGCTAACTATACCGACCGAGTGACCACCGCTTGTCTGCGAAGTTAGTTCCAACTTTTGCGGATAGAGGGTGTCACGTGGTCAGCGCAGCGGATCCCCATGGTCGTTAATCTCGGTTTTATAGACCAGGCTAAAATTATTATTTTGGTGTATTTCTTAAAACATCGAGAAATATTTAAGATAAGATCTAGAAATCTTCGTTAAAATCTGTTGTATGCACAGATGAATCTTTTTTGTTTGTCTGATTTCAGCTTCATGTGGGGAGCGTGTATGTTTCACTCATATAAACAAAATTCAATTTGCCTAAGCACTCACTTCTGATGTTTATCATCCACACCAAATTTAATCGAAATCCACTGAATGGTTTCGGAAATCAAACATGGGAGACGTGAATCAACTCGGCAGCATTACCACACTGTGCATAAGGTGCAAAGGATGCACTGTGTGCTCTGACGATAGAATCAATATTCGTTCCTTGCTTGTAGCACGGACATTGTCTCCCAACGAAAACAAGTGTCACGAGAAACTGAATGCCGCAGCTTTATCAAGGCCTGCTGCTTCTGTGTGTGGTGGACCCACTGCGGGAAGTAAGCCAACGGTGATGGCCTTGTGTTCTCAGGTACTATTCCCATGAATCATCAACCAAAACTGCCGTCCAGATCATTCATCGGGTTACAGGATCCAAATCAGTTGATCTCCGCTCCGTGCCCTCACCACCTGATCCTGGAACTGGCGGGGGTTTCCCCATACATCAAGCACGACTGCAAGACACGCGACGCGCCAAAAAAGCCTCGAGGTTAGGAAGTTCTGTATATATGACTCGGTCATGTCTTGGATATTAAAATTATGATAATTTGATCATAGCAGCTCACATATGCTAAATAACTGGGGGACCGAAATATTTTAGTCAAGCCTCAGCGTGCTTGTACAGTAACTCGATCCTCATCTGTACAGTAAATACAGTGTAGCTTCCCGGAGTTTAACCTAGTTCAAGAAGGGGCAGTTGTACGCGTCTGCGGCTAAAAGAGTTTTAACTGCGCAGTTGAGCATCTTACATTATATCATATTTTCCGAAGTATTTCAGAATGGAATGGTTAATTATTTAATGGATTTAAGCTCTAATTTATAGAAGTCTGCCCCCGCTTAGTACCAGGTAAGAGTAACCAAGTAACTCCAAGGAGCATAGTTCTTCGTGAGGAGCCAATATTCCCCCAGCGTAACAAGACAGTCCCGTCCTCCTGTGGAACCAAAACGGTGGGGCGTTGAGATTTTTGTTTATCTGAGTCCGAAATCAGCAGGTTCGGGGTTCCAGTGAAGAGAGAAGGTAGCAATGAAGTGGATGAAAAGTGCATGAAGTGTATTCATGATTACTTAATACGCCGGATGTTATTACTACGCCTAAATGAAAGATAGACGGGACATGTAGCACGCACGGCAGAAATTATAAATCGGTACAGGATTATATTGAAGGGAGACTGTTTGGGGGACCAAGGCGTAGATGGAAGGATAATATTAGAATTGATTTTTAAAGAAAGGGGTATGGAGGTATGGACAGAATTCAACTAGCTTGGGGTGGGGTCCAGTGGCGGATTCTTTTGAAAACGGGAATAACAGTTACGGTTACATTTCTTGATGATCTGAGCAACCATGACATTCTCGAGAATGACTCTGTACCATGGAGTTGGTTGTTGTGTCGTTATTTTCTTACATTTCAGACCCAGTTGCTCACAATGTGTATTGCCGGAACTATCCCAGATTTTTACAATGCCAGATTTATTACGTAACCTGCTTCATTCTCCCTAGATATAAGAAATTTTTGTTTTCATAATCCTGATAATCGTAAAAATATGTACTTATTTTCTTTCCTTGGAATTTAAGCGGTTGTATAAGTGGTCTCGCCGGTCACGGTAGCCGAGCGGTCTAAGGCATGTACTGTCTTCGCTCGCTTGGAAACCGGGATCATGGGTTCGAATCCCACTCAGGGCATGGATGTTTAGTTTGTGTGTGTGCGTTTTTCTGTGTTTGTGTACAGGTAGAGGCCTTGCGACGAGCTGATCACCCGCCCAAGGAGTCCTACCGAATGTGTAAGATCTAGAAAAACCGAAGTGAAACGGAGAAGTTCATGGAGGTAGGCCTAGGCCCACTGGGGCTCTAGTGCCAATGAGAAAAAAAAGAAAAAAAGAAAAGAATATGTGGTCTAGTGGTCAGAGTTCCTGGCTACAGATCCAGGGGTACCGGGTTCGATTCCCGGCGCTGCCAGATTTTCTGAGAAGTAGTGGGTCTGGAACGGGGTCCACTCAGCTATTTGAATGGAAAAATAGCGGCTTCGGTCTATAAGACCGAAATTAACGGCCGTGGGGATTCGTTGCGTTGACCACGCGACACCCTCTATCCGCTAAAGTAGGCACTAACTTCGCCGACAAGCGGCGGTCGCTCGGTCGGTATAGTTCGGTTGCGGACTGAAGCAACGGAGGGTTTTTCTTTGTGTATTTCAAGAAGTTTACATAGCCTACCCTATTGCAGAAACGTATAATTTCTTGACGGCGTGACTCGTTAATTCTCGTTTTTCATGATTTTAAGATATGATTTTTTTTTTTCAGATGGGGGACAGTTTGATGTTGGCGATGGTGACGACACTCGGCGTGGTAGTGGCGGCGTCAGACTACAACTACTCCCACGTGCTGGAACTCTCTCTCTTGTTTTATGAGGCTCAGAGATCGGGGAAACTTCCAACAGATAACAGAGTATCCTGGAGGGGAGATTCTGCATTAGATGACCGTGGACAAAATGGCGAAGACCTCACGGGAGGTTACTATGACGGTAAGAATGAATACGTCACGAATCTGCGCAATAGCCATATAGTGTTTACATTGAAACATTTTTCTGTGCTAGATACTTCCTTCGGTTATCAGCTTCTATAAAAGATCTAATTTAAGTTGCTAAATCTGATGCCCACTGTCTGTTAGTTCGATAAACAGCCTCTTCCTTTCCTTTCAAAACCACTGCGAATGTTATACTGTTATTTTAGGACCGCCTCTGTGGTCTAGTGGTCAGAGTTCCTAGTTACAGATCCAGAGGTCCGGGTTCGATTCCCGGCGTTACCAAATTTACTGAGAAGTAGTGGGTCTGGAACGGGGTGCACTCAGCCTCGTGACGATAATTGAGGAGCTGTTTCAAGGAAATAGCGGCTCCGGTCTAGAAAACCGAAATTAACGGCCGTGGGTATTCGTTCCGCTGACCATGCGACACCCTCAATCCGCAAAATTTGGCACCAAACTTCGCCGACAAGCGGCGGTCGCTCGGTCGGTATAGTTCGCTTGCGGACTAAAATCAGGGAGTTTGTTTGTTTGGCCCATGTAGCACAACTGACACGGCTTGATATGTGAATCTCAATAGATACAGGATGCGATGATATGGATTGGATTGTTTTGGCTGAGAATAGGGACCAGTGGAGGGCTACTGTGAACACGGTAATGAAACTTCGTGTTGCATAAAATGTTTGGAAATTCTTGAGTAGCTGCATCATTGACGGTTTCTCAAGAAGAGCTCAGCTCCGTGGAGTTAGTTGGTCAGTCAGTTAAATTAAATGGTTTGGCACAGCAGATCAACGGGATTCCTATGAGCGCAACACTGTTATTACAGGAACATTTCAATTTTGTTTTAATTAATGTAATTATGCTTTCGTTCTTGCAGCTGGAGACTTCGTCAAGTTCGGATTCACGATGGCAAGCACCACTACGCTTCTGGCATGGGGTTATCTCTCCTATAGAGACGCTTACGAATCAGCAGGTAAGTGGCGGCGTTAACTCACCCTTACTGGGGCATATCAAGTGTAAATTCAAAATACATTGAAGAAAGCAGTCTTCTGGGATGTGGCGCCGTGTAGATATTGTGTTAACCGACGTTTCGGAGGAACATATCGCCTCCATCTTAATCTGCTCACGCTGGTTCCTCGCTCGCGAATTTTCACCTTTTTTCTTCTTCCCTGAAGATGGAGGTGATATGTTCCTCCGAAACGCCGGTTAACACTATCTACACGGCGCTATATCCCAGAAGACTGCTTTCTTCATAGTCACGCCGTGAAAACCTCAAATCTTAAAATGCATTTTCTGTCCTTTCACATAACGAATACATACTGTTGAAACGGTCCTACTGACGCCACGGTAATTCACAGTTCCTCTCAGTAAGGAAACAGCCAAGCGAGACATCACTGAGGTTTCATAAAGAATGTGCATTTGCAAAGTAACGGCACGCTGACATCAGTTCTGCCAGAGGAATCCAAGTAAACTATGGCCAGCTCCTTCCAAATATCTTCCAGATCCCCTTGGTTGATTTAATTACATTTCTCTAACTGGTTATGCGATATCGCGTTCGATGAGAGGATAATTAATAATAGATTGTAAAGGGTTCTGGCGATGGTGTACAATACTCAGAATTACTGGATTCTTGGACTTTGTCCATCGTCCGGTATTCTAGAAACTAGAAAACGCAACGTTTCGGAAAATGGATCTGTTTCTATCCTCAGGTGAGGGGGGGGGAAGACACCTACTAAGTTTGGTCCCTTAGAAAGAGCTAACCTCAGTCACTGGCTTCAGGTGTCTCCATCCTTACATGAGGACGGAAACATCCATTTTCTGAAACGTTGCGTTTTCTAGTTTCTAGAATACCGGACGATGGACAAAGTAAAAAAACTCAGTAATTTCTGAGGACAGTTAATGCTTGGTGAGTTGGGACGGATGTGACAGGCAGCAACCGTAACTTATTTGAAGGTTTTCCTACAGGGATTGAGAAAAATACGAAAAACTTCAGTCAAGATAGCTGATTGACCATCGTGCCGGAAATTAAACCCAGAGCAAGCTTGCGGGCGGGCTTCCACGAGCCTAGCGATTCCAATTGGAAGTCCATTGACGTCAGATAATCGTAATGATTGATACACAGTCGTTAAATAATAAAAAATATAAAGTAAGAGTACTTACTACTCACTCCTTAGTTACTCACAACTCATTAAAACTAGTGCATACGCCGTTAAGATGGGCAGGGAATGTAGCACGAATGGGGGAAGACGAATGCATATAGGATGTTGGTCGGAAAGCCAGAAGGAAAGAGACCACTGGAAGACCAAGGCGTAGATGGGTGGACAATATTAAAATGGATCTTAAACAGATAGGATGGGATGGTATGGATTGGATTAATCTGGATCAGGATATGGACCAGTGGAGGGCGCTTGTGAACTCGGTACTGAACCTTTAGGTTCCATAAAATGCTGGGATGTCCTTGAGTAGCTGCACAATTGGCAGCTTCTCAAGAAGGGCCCAGATCCATGAGTGAGTGCGTGATACGCCCATTGAAATTCAACGGGAATAGTTTATTTCGTACCGTCAACCTTCATCACCTTTCTTTCTTTCTTTCTTTCTTTCTTTCTTTCTTTCTTTACCCTTTTCATACCTGACCTCCTTCATTCTCTCTGTTGACCCTTTAATGCCCCGTGGTCATTATATGTACCACCTGCTTCAACGTATTAAAACTTTGCATTCTCCCGACAGATTGTACATGAATGTTTCCTGTGATCCTCACAGGATTCGAGCGGTTTCTCTAAACGGCATTAACCCGTTGGTTATTTGTGTTTCCTATGAGGTACGAACTGAATTTTATATATACACGTAATTTAGAAGACAGTCTGAAGGGTTAAAACAGTGAATAAAATTGCACTTCTCTCCTTCAGATGGTACAGTTTAGAAGCTACGAACAATAAAGCAGGCACTCACAGCTAGGTAACAGACATAGTTATATACCGTCTCGTATTATATATATATTTATATTCTCGTGCGCGCACACAACACACGCACGCACACAAGCTTATCAGGTGCAGACATGTAACAGGAATTTGCTGTATCTACAGTAATCGGATTCCTATTGTTATTATTATTATTAGTAGTAGTAGCAGCAGCAGCAGTACCAGTAGCAGTAGCAGCAGCAGTGGGCCTTGAATTCCATCTCGTCTAATCAGTGTCATGATAACAATACTTGCCAAGGCTTCCTCTCAGTTACAGCCCAGCGGGTGGCATGTATTCCACCCCTTTCTTCCCCCGGTCCTCTTTTCATCCTTTTTGGGGCCATATTTGAGTTAATTAGCTGAACTGACAGCAGAGGTGGGATAATATTCTGATTTATTGATGTCAGGAACATGAATACAGGTTACCTGGGCTCTTTCTGGCGTCTGCATTATTTAATCATGTGGTTAATTATCGTCGAATGGCATGGTAAACCCTAAGATACCGGGGAAGAACCTGCAGTGGATACTTCAAGGCGCCATCCGGTTTTCAGCACAAAGGACTGAGAAAAATTACGAACAGGTGGCCAATGAATAGGACAAGATTCGAATGTAGTAGTCCATTTTGGTTTTGGGTATTTTTCGATGCTTCGTTTTCGTACAGTTTTCTTTCAGAACAGATGAGGGTGTCACCAGCATTTTGTATTGACTGGAACGGAAATATTCCGCTCTCCTGTGATTTGGGCCGTGTAGTTTGGTAGAGTGGATCAACGTTTCGAAGGAACCTGGTGCTTCCACCTCAGGCATGCCTGCTGCCTCAACTTTATGGCCCCTGAAATGGAGGTAGCAGACCCCTCCGGAACGTTTGTGCCACCTACCAAACTACATTGTGTCACTTCCCAGGCGACCGCCTTCTTGATACTCATCACAGTGAGAACCACATCTTCTATGTACTTTATATGTGGTCAGCATGGCCACCAATGCAAAAGCATGGTCTTAAACCCCTACGGGAGTCTTCGCTCAGTAATAGAATTCTGCTATTACTTATTCTCGTCTTCACTTAATAGGTACGAGTGTATTGTGACATGCGGACCCGTTGCTAAGCGGTGACTTTGCAAACGACCGTTTCTGGGCAACGGCTCGATTAACACGTTCCCACGGCAACGAATGCGCACGCACGGGGTATTTGTACGCGGTCAGTGCTGATATGTTAAAAGCAAGGGACAAAGTCGTTTGTTAGGCAGTTCTGGACTGAGCGCGCGAACCTGAAGAATCTCCACTGCTAGAAGCCGTTGCCAGGGGAATGGCTGATGAAGACATAGCAGGCTGGAAATAGTCTTATCGGGCGCTGTGGTGATTATCTATGGTGCAGTAAATGATTGTAGTTCCGAGCCGTATGTATAAGTGATCATTAAACCATTCACCAAACCAAACCACGTATGTAGTCACACACATGCGACAGTATATTGCCTGTATGGGCCTTAAAATCACCTTTGTTGTATTCCTTTCTATGTCTCAAATCTTCGCCCTACAGGTTTGGGATTCCTTGCTATGACAGATCATGTGTTGTCATCCATATTAGTTACATTGTCCTTCCATTCCGTGCTATGTGCAGTCAACCATAGCTGCACTGTCTCACGTTCGTACATAGCCATGATCAAAGCGGGATTCGATCCCACGATCTATGTTCGAACATTTGGCAGAAATCATGTAGAACTTATGTTACAAATACACATTCTGATCACTGTCATTACAGAAAAGACGTCTTCTTGCGTTTCGTTCTGCCTGTGTTTAACTCGACACTGCAGAAGACTCCTCTGAGCACTTTTTAAGATTTGGGTTGACGCTTTGAAGAGAACAAGCCGTGTGTCAGTTGCCAGTGGCACTGAGTTTTAATGTGGTTCAGAAAATGTAAGTGGTAATTTTAGGAACCGTACGTCTTTAATTAAATATCGAGTTATTAATTAGTAAGGTTAGTCGGATTCTTCCTACACAGGATTAGCTTGGCACTTTTTACATTAATATCCGTATTTACGTGGGTTGTAAGTGCAACTGGAGATGGTGGAGTTGAATCGTTGCCATGGCGCCCGCGACTAACACGAAGACGTTGGGAAGAGTAACCATAACAACACGTGTGACGTTGGAAAGACAATTTGCTGGAAATAACTTCCCTCTCAAGAACACGTTTGCAGGACCACAAGCCGCTTCAGAGCCGCCTTCACGTGAACATATGTGCGAGGTAAGGTAGAGTCCCCAGCGCTTATTAAGCACGACATTATTAAAATATGAGAGGGTGGGAGGGAGCAGCCTCACATATTAGCCTCGGCAATGGATAGATATGAAGAGTAAACCTCAAACTTCTTGCGCTGTATCCCCAGTATCCACTGGATACGAAGTCGGTTGGGTCCCAGCGTCGATCTGGACGTTGCGTCGATCCCTGCCTGGAATCGAACCCCTGTCGTCCGGCCCATAGCCAATCATTAAGCTGACTTCCGTTCCGGTTCAGGTATGCCCGAGTTAAGTGAAAACGGGTACCCTGATCCAAAGCTCCAATTCAGGAAGACCCCCAGAGGTTTGGCCTGTTCGGAATGGAAGTAGGGGCACCCAGTAGCGTAGTTGGTTGAGGCATTATGCTACAAGCCGGAAGGTCGGGGGTTCAAGTCCTGATCAGCTGGATTTTTTTTAGTTAACCTAATCCTTACAGGCGCGCTGTGGCTCTGGGGTCGACTAAGCCTCTAACAAAAATGAGTACCAGGAATATTCCTGGGGGTAAAGGGCGGCCGGCGCGTAAGGCTGACAACCTCACCGCCATCTCTGAGCCGATTGTCTAGAGAAAATGTGGGAGCCCCGACGTCTCACAACCCTATGGGCCTCCACGGCCTGTTACAGGGATAGCCTCGAAATGGAAGTGAGTGAAGGGGACTGATATTATTTTGTCTCCATTCGCTTTGTCCGGAGAATACAGCTCTTGATACTACTGAACAGCATTTTATCAGGCCAGTCGGTCTTTCAGGGCTTCCACTTTACTTGTATCATCCATTTTGCTATTGATCGAAAGTCTCAAGTAAAATACGTAAAGCGCAGTAGAACAAGCAGTTCGTTGTATTCATTTCTGTCATATTATAGGACATTTTCGAGAAAATGGCTCAAAGGTCCTAAACTGACAAGCTGCAAGCCTCAAATGGCGATGCGGTGAGTGCAACACATGATACCTACTGACATGGTGGAAGTACTCTTCGTCAGTTTTCTATATCCTGATCCCTATTTACTCATTTATCTCTTCTGCATAGCATCAGACCGTCTGTGGGGCTCACTAAGGTTACTGTCTAATGGTTGCCAGAGTTTCCTTCTTCGGGGCAGAACGGCCGGGCCGTGAAGCTCATCACTCGCCTCCATTTAATGCCGAGGTTAACGCGTGGAGCTATATCTCAACTTCCTCATATGACTGCATGGCGTGACGCTTAATTACGGGAACAATTCTGCCTTTACCTTACCTTATTTATACTACCCACTACATAAAAACCTGAATACGGGTCTCATTTTGTAGTGGTTCAAGTTTCCAAATACGTAATGGTTTGGTAATTTATGTTAGTTATATTTCCTTAGGAGTCTTTCCTTTTTATGTATTTTATTGTTACTTCTATCGCGTATATTTAGGCTGACAGATGCGTTTGGTTCATGTGTGCGTACAAAAAAAAAAAAGTAAAGCTACCCCCCAACAGGCCGTGAAGGTCCATACCATTTTGAGACGTCGAGGTTCCCACATTTTCTCTAGACAGTCGGCTCACAGATGGAGGTAAGTTTGTCAGCCTTACGTGCCGGTCGCCCTTTACCCGCTAGGAAGATTCCGGGTACTCATTTATGTTAGAGGCTGAGTCGACCCCAGGGCCATAGTGCGGCTGGAAGGATTAGGTAAAGTGAAAAAATCCACCTCGGGACTCGAGCCCGCGACCTTCCGGCTTATAGCGTAGTGCCTCAACCAACTACAGTACGTGGTGTTCCCAAGCGGTCATGCATCCAAGTACTAACCACGCCCAATGCTGCTTAATTGCCGTGATCGGACGAGAACCGGTGTTTTCAACATGGTATGGCCGTTGGCAATGTGTGTAGGTAGGATATTTGATATAAGATCTGCTATGAGAATTGTCATCAGTCAAAATACAGCAGATATGCGCAGCTGATGCACACTGTATCTGCACACCTACCAATCAGTCCTACCAGATGCCTTAGAGATTCATAATTTTAGAATCAATTATGAATTGGAACAGACCACATGCCCTAACCCATTGTATTTTGAGGAGGGGGCGGAGGAAAATTTAATAATGAAAGTAGCTTTGTATTTTTATGCTTTATACGTACAACACGTGTAAGGTCATTGTCTTTGTATTATTGTGTTTTATGTTTATGTAACTGAATGAAGATTTTAATTATATTTTAAAATTGGGCCCTAATTCAGATGCTGAACAAACACATCCATTTAGATACGAGTGTCTGCATTATAGCGTATACACACATTTCTCTTTGTCTGTGATCCGACTTGGATGGGACTACAAAAAGTGCGGTACACCGGGTGTGGCAGGCGTCCCTCTTCGCGTGTTACGTTTGTGTGTTTCACTCATACTGACATTGCCTACAGGGCAAGCCAAGTACGGACTGAGCACCATCAAGTGGGCGGCAGATTACTTCATCAAGTGCCACGTGAGCCCAAACGAATTGTACGGCCAAGTGGGGGACTTCAACCTGGATCACACCTTCTGGGGCCGACCAGAGGACCTCAGCATGTCAAGACCAGCCTACAAGATCGACACTCAGCACCCAGGTGAGTGTGCATTTTGCCATGGCACTACCACATGAATTTTGTTCGATATTACTGTAAAGGCGGGAAAGAGGCGCGACACTGTTCAGACGCGGAACTAAGTCGTGAATTTGTCCTGGGCTCTGGTGATAAGGGGAGCGCTTTTACTAGTTATGGAACGTCCTTAAGTTGAAGTTCAGGGAAGAGCTAATTACCATATTTCCTTTGATGCCACTCGGTCGGCATAGAAACGAAAAAACTTAAGAGGGATGCATAGAGCGACAGACAGCAAAAGTTGATCTCATAAGATACCTTTTATTTTTTCAAAATTAGGAAAGTAGACAAATGCCTGAACAGTCTCTTTGGTATTTTGTGTCTGTATTTAATTCTGTTTTATTAAATTGATTGTAATTTTATTAAGTGTATGCAACCCGACAGTTTCTAATTAAAAGGTAAAGATATCCCTGTAACAGGCCGTGGGGGCTCATGAGGTTGTGAGACATCGAGGCTCCCACGTTTTCTAGACAGTCGGCTTACAGACGGCGTTGAGGTTGTCAGACTTACGCACCGGCCGCCCTTTACCCCCCAGGAGGATTCCTGGTACTCATTTCTGTTAGAGGCTGATTCAACCGAGGGCCGTAATGTTGCTGGAAGGATTATGTCAATTGAAAAAGCCAATGACCTAATCGGGAATGGAACACACAACTCTCTGGGTTGTAACATAGTGCCTCAACGAATTACGCTACCGCGTGCCCCCAACAGTTTCTAATTGCACGAAATAAATTTAGTTAGTACCCAGTTAGTTTATGAGCGTACAAATGACGTCTACAAACAATGAAATTACTAAGTGGTTGCATGGGGCACAATCTTTCTTGAGAAACTTGCAGTCGCTGAGCTGGTCAAGATTTTCATCATCTTGTTAGAGCCGATAGGTAATTGTCACATTCACGAGATTCTGTCACAGGGCCATGGCCATTGCCAGGCGATTCAAGTCCTCATCCTTACTCCGTATTGAATTAAATAATTTTAATATTATCATCCCATTTACGTCTTTGTCTCCAAAATGGATACATCCCTTCAGGTTTTCCGATTAAAATTATATATGAATTTGAAGTCTCTCCTTTGATTGCTAGATGTTCTGCCCATCTTATTTTCCTTTGTTGTATGACCCTAATAATAGTGGTGCAGAATACAGGTTATGAACCTTATTGGCATGTAATTGTCTGCGTTCTTCTATACATCCCCCCCCCTCTCAGATTCAAATATTCTTCTCTGGCTTTCGTTCCCACAGGCCTTCACTTTAGACTTTAGCGATACACCAGTTTCGCCCTCATATATAAACCACGAAAGGATCAGTTTCACATGTTTTAACATCAACATGCCAATGTTAGAACAATCGTATGTCTCCGGATGGACGGTTTTCGACTATGAGAATATTTCAAGCGGCCTCCGTAGTCTAGGGGTAACGTTCCCACCTCATGACTCAAGGTACGCGGGTTCAAAAACCCGGCGGAGGTCGTGGAATTTTTAAGGGCGGAAAAATTCAGGGGACAAGTCCTCCTGGAGGGACTTTAAGCCGTGGATCCCGTGTCGTAGATTTACGGCACGTAAAAGAACCTCATGTCTCTAAGAGACCGCTGAGCTAAATTAGGCCAAACATTTCCCGCCCAAAGTAGTTTCCAATGCCTCTGGTAGATGTGGAAGTATTAGGTACCACTGCCAGAGGAGGGACGACCTCTCTGACAGAAAGGGACTAAAGTATTAGATACCACTGCCAAGTAGAGGGTAGAAACCTTGCTGGCAGAAAGGGACTAGGAACCCCTGCCAGAGGAGGGACGACCTCGCTGACAGAAAGGGACTAACTATTAGATACCACTGCCAAGTAGAGGGTAGAAACCTTGCTGGCAGAAAGGGGCTAATAGCGAGCACCAGTACCGGTAGGGGATGGAGACTGTAGAAATTAAGAGGGGGACGTACAATAGACTATCAATCGCGGTGCATGGGGAAACCACCCCCTCAATACTGAATCACTGAATGAGAATATTTCGATTTTCGTAATGCCGATCACAGTTTTTGCGAATATTTAACGCTTAACGCGCCATTTGCTACTTTAATTTTTGCATTTAACTTCACCTGTGGGTCATTATGTTACTGAATTACAGTATACTTACCTCATGGTAAATGGAATTATGTGTATGTTATTGTGTTGATGGCAGCAGTTTTTACGGGCAGTAGAAGGTACGTAAATGTAATCGCTCGTAAAGTTTAACACCGTGTCATAGTTCTCATAAAAGTCGGTGATACAGCTATATTTGTTACAGGATTTTGATACTCCTGGTGCTGAAATAGCTAATCCCAACTCTTACATTATTAGCATCACATCTGCGTTATGTTTTGTTCTTCAACGAAAGATAATATAAGTAGAAAATCCACATTGTGCTATGGTGTGAAGGGGCACAAACAATTTGTGAGCACGCAGTCGTGTTGTGTGCTTTCTCTGTCTTTGTGCTGGCTCGCACAATGAAAATTCGGACATACTAGAAGCTGGTCACGAACCACTGCCTACGTTCTCGCGGCATATGTATGCAATTACATAAGGTGCATATGTGTGTAATTATTGCACTGTTCTAAAACATAGCTTTGCAGCAAAGTAGTCTGCGAAACTCGTCATTTGCGGAAAAGTGACACATGGAACTTAACAAAATTAAAGAACGAATATATACCAATAACTTTAATTCACTTCACCGTTCTTATATAACAGAACAACGCTGTTATTATCATGAATGAAGTGCTAAAGGTTAGAATCTTTTATAGGCCGATAATTGGCCAAATTGCAACAATATTTTTTCTTTAACCTAAATACCCAATTCTTGAAATAGAATCCTTCTTAGGAGCTCATAGTGGCTCAGCTGATAACTGATCAACTCGGCCTTATGTGGAACCCCACGGTTCGTTGCTGTGTTCACAACAGCCCTACACTTGATCCTATTGTAAACCAGACGTGTCAGCATGCCTACTCCTGAAGCCGTCTTGCAGCGCTGTGCGTCTTCTGTCGCCGTTAATGTTCTATCTAGGTAGTGCAAGGTTATAATCCAGTAGAGACTGTCGAGAGTAATAATAGAGGTAGTAAGTAGTAGTAGTAGCAGTGGCAGTAGCAGTACCATACTAGTACTTACTTACTCACTCACACTCATGGAGCTGAGCCCTTCTTGAGGAGCCGCCAATTGTGCAGCTACTCAAGAATTTCCCACCATTTTATGGAACCCGAAGGTTCATTACCGTGTTCACAAGAGCCCTCCACTGGTCCCTATCCTGAGCCAGATCTCTCCAGTCCATACCATCCCATCCCATCTCTCTAAGATTCATTCTAATATTGTCCACCCACCTAGGCCTTGTATCCTGAGCCAGATCTCTCCAGTCCATACCATCCCATCCCATCTCTCTAAGATTCATTCTAATATTGTCCACCCACCTACGCCTTGGTCTTCTCTGTTGTCCCTTTCCTTCTGGCTTTCCCACCAATATCCTATACGCATTCCTTGTCTCCCCATTCGTGCTACATGACCTGCCCACCTCATCCTTCTTGACTTGATCATTCTAATTATACTTTTATACTAGTATAGCAGCAAAATAGTAGTAGCATATTTTATTGTACAATTTCTGTGTTAAATTTGACGGATATAACCTCAAAGTTTCACACCATCGCTAACTTTCTAATTGTTAATTTAGGCATGTAGACCTAACAATAGTTCATACGGATTTCGAAGACGTTCGTGATCTGTCCGAATATGCCTAGCTCCATGATTTATTCTGACCGTCTTACAGTGCATACACTTATTCACCCTACTCTTCTCTCTTGCACTACACGTTTCGGCACTAAAGTGCCATCCTCAGGTGCCTCTCGATGTACGTCGAACTACTTCACTGCATGCCCTGCTGTCTCCATACTAAAATAACTAAAATATATATTCGTCATATATATTGATAAATTTTAAATATTAAAAATATTAAAACTGTTCAGGATTTGTCATCCTTATGTCGTATCTCAATACGCGAGTCACACCTATCTTCTTCTATCGGAGTATTCTTCCTACTTTCATGTGTATTGTGCTTTGTGTTGTGTCTTGCTCCTGTGACTGTGTGTGTTATACTGCAGTATCGAATTACAAATCATGTTAATGGCATACTTTATTTTATTCTCGTTTCCTGATTAACAGTGTAGAAGGAACGCGCAGTTTTTATGCCATCCCAGTTATATTTGTGTGTGTGTGTGTGTGGGGGGGGGGTGTTGGAGCTTGTATTTTTTTCCTTGGCACTACAGCCCCAGTGGGCCTGGGCCTACCTCCATGAACTTCTCCGTTCACTTCGGTTTTTCTAGATCTTAAGACATACGGTAGGACTCCTTGGGAAGGTGATCACCTCGTCGCAAGGCCTCTACCTATACACAAACACAGAAAATCGCACACAAACATCCATGCCCTGAGTGGGATTCGAACCCACGATCCCGGCCCCAGAGCGAGCGAAGACAGTGCACGCCTTAGACCGCTCGGCTACCGTGACCGCCGTTGGAGCTTGTACGAGTATACTCTGTTCTAAATAGCAAACAGTCCCAATCATTATCCCGTTTTATCTATATTGTTTTCTGCAGGGAAAGTGAGCAGGATTATTCCGACGGAGAGATATGGCTCTGTGTCATTAAGACGAATGCAGTTTAAGGCGAACTCCGAAATAATAATAGAATGACAGGACTACACAATAATGGTTACCTGGACTACTGCACGGAACACATCTGTTGTGTTAATTAGAATAATGAAAGTTAACCGCAGATCTGTGCTACTGTTCGCGGGAAGACAAGTGTACTATTGCATAATTCCCGGAACACTTAAACATGCCCTACGGCAATGTTGCTTCTTGCAGTGAAGCAAAATACAGTAATACTCTATCGTTACCGCACTAATTCTGGACTTTCGCACTGTGAAACAATAGAATCTTCATCAGTGTTATGATGTTATGTCTTACAGGTAAACATATACAAAACTTGGTAATTACAACGGTCAGTTTTGTCTGCATTTTCCGTGTAATGAATGTTAACAAGGACAGGAGAGGACAGGCGCACCCTGAAGAGGTGTACTTTCCCACTCCTTTTGTACCACTCTGAACAAATGGCAAGTATCTCAGGACGGGATAAATAGCTTGTGAGGATGCCAGTTGAAGTATCTCAGGACGGGATAAATAGCTTGTAGAGGAAGCCAGTTGAAGTATCTCAGGACGGGATAAATAGCTTGTGAGGAAGCCAGTTGAAGTATCTCAGGACGGGATAAATAGCTTGTGAGGATGTCAGTTGAAGTATCTCAGGACGGAATAAATAGCTTGTGAGGAAGCCAGTTGAAGTATCTCAGGACGGGATAAATAGCTTGTGAGGAAGCCAGTTGAAGTATCTCAGGACGGGATAAATAGCTTGTGAGGAAGCCAGTTGAAGTATTTCAGGACGGAATAAATAGCTTGTGAGAATGCCAGTTGAAGTATTTCAGGACGGAATAAATCGCTTGTGAGGATGCCAGTTGGACTGACGTATCTCAGGACGACGTAAAAGGTTGAGTATAAGCGGTATTGGCTTATTGGGTTATATTACCAAAGATTTTCGTCTAAAATTGTGCAATATGTATGCTGCAGTCGGGAAAGCTCGCTAAAGTTAGAGTAGTAGTGACATGGTCACTTAACTGTGTGATGTAAACTGGCACTTAAGGGGTGCGAAACCGTTTCGGGTTTATCAGATCAACTGATAATACAGACCACACGAAAGATCAAGTTTAATCATTACATGAAATTGACGGAAGAACAAATCCGTTCTTCTTAAGTCTAAGAGGTATTTGTAAAATCGTATGAAATTGTTATAATTAAACTCAGAAATGCCGGTCACGGTAGCCGAGCGGTCTAAGGCATGTACTATCTTCGCTCGCTTGGAAACCGGGATCGTGGGTTCGAATCCCACTCAGGGCATGGATGTTTAGTTTATGTGTGTGCGTTTTTCTGTGTTTGTGTACAGTTAGAGGCATTGCGACGAGCTATCATCCGCCCAAGGATTCCTACCGAATGTGTAAGATCTAGAAAAACCGAAGTGAACGGAGAAGTTCATGGAGGTAGGCCTAGGTCCACTGGGGCTGTAGTGCCAAGGAAGAAAAACAAACTCAGAAATATATAATCATCTTCATGCGAGTTCTTGGAACCGCAGAAACAGGAAGTCACAGGAGAATGTAGAACACTGTATATCGGAGAACTTTGTACGTATGTCAATTTAGTGTTTTTAACCAAATTCACGTAGCAGAACAGAGAACTGGTAGCTACACAGCTCGTCGAAGAAATTGCACATTACTCACCACGGAACCATACCGTTCCTCAGTTGAATGCAATCCACATTCTCACGTCATAGCACTACAGAATCCATGTTAATGTTATCTTCTTGCATATGCTTAAGTCTCTCGAAGGGTGTCCTCCTGTCAGGCTTTCCGTCTGAATCAAAGGATGATGTCTCATGTTCCCTTATGCGTGCAACATGGTCTGCTCAACTCGTCCTCCTCGATATGATTACACTTATATTTGAAAAACACGATTTATGGATTATGACTGCGTGTCTCTGGAGTTCCAGTAACATTTTGGGTTTCCCGTGTTGCAGGTTCAGACCTTGCCGGAGAGACTGCGGCGGCATTGGCTGCAGTGGCCTTGGTGTTTCGCGACGTGAACCCTGGCTACTCCAGCAAGTGTCTAGAGCATGCCAAACAGCTGTATCGCTTCGCCAGCCAGTACAGGGGTCTTTACCATGAGGCCATCAAAGGAGCCGCGCAATACTATGAGTGAGTGTACTGCAGAAACTGCATCAAAGCGCATGTTCCATTCTGCCTTACCGCCTTTACTACTACTACTTCCTCAACCACTACCGCCCCCACCGCCGCCGCCACCACCTCCTCCTCTCTGACATGTTTCCGTCAGAATTAATCTAGAACTATGGCTCTTACAGACAGTCGTAGGACTCCTTGGACGGGAGATCAGCCCTGCCTCATTTTCATTACTTTAGCATTATACACACTGAAAATAGCCGAATGCTGGTCGTAGAGACACCAGTTTATAATTTAGAGTCATTTGTTTCCTGTTGCAAATATTCACGATTTGAAAGATATGTTTTTAATGCTATGTCTCTTCTTATTTTTAACCCTTGGTCTCATTATCTTTACTGGCGCTACACCCTTGTGTGGATCTTGGACTTCTCCATGGTTTCAAAACAGTCGAATTTTACGGGATAGGGCTTTTAGCCCCATGCCACAACTGCAACCTGGAAGACTACGGACTACAGTTCGTCTGGCCCCTATCCTTTTACCTGTCTGGCATGGTTGACTCAACCAGTACATTACACTCCCGCCAGCATAGCTGTCCGAGTCACTGGGGCACGCGAACCTGTCAACAATAAGACCGTGAAAATGTATTGGGTTCACATGTTTGTAGGAGAAGAATTTGTCTGTCTTTATCCTTCATCATTCGTAAAACGAGGAGGTAGCGTGAGTGAGTAAACATTATTCCTTTCCATAGATTGGGCTTATCGAGACCTGTTGAAGATATTAGAAAACTGAATTATTTCGTCGTTTGAGAATTCTTCCCGATACTTGTTTTTATTTTATTTTATATGTCGAGATATTTGGGTATCTTGTCAGGGTTCATTCTGCCAACGACCTGTTTCCACTTCGTTAATATGCTGCCAGTTCTGTTATTTATGGAATTCGCAGTTTCATCATAATTTTCTTCATCTAGTTCACGGTCCCAATTTGTGTATCCCACCGCCATCATGAATCGCACTTTCGCTTAAATCAGTCTTCTTCTACGAGTTCCATCACTTTAAATATATAAAAATTATTTTATAACTTTACTTCGAGACATTTCTCACTACCCCGAGAATGTGACGATTTTCTCTCTGTCCCAAACAACACACTCGAGCGCTGACCTTCTTCAGAAGCTAATAATTTCTCAGTTTTTACGCAACCTGAGGGATCCTTGCCTTGTTTACAAGAACCTACCACTGGTCTCTACCCTTAGCCATTTTAGTATTATCCTACCATCTACGCCTAAGTCTCTCTTCCCTTGATATTCTCCAATTCCTCTTACGTGCTACATATCTTATCTATCATAATTTGTGCAGAGAGCTAGGGAAATACATGCAGTATTGTCGTGCAGATCCACGGACTATGGAGACGAACTGACGTGGGCCGCAGCGTGGCTGTACAAGGCGACGGATGACCCCCTGTTCCTGGACGAAGCAGAACACCACTACATGAAGTTCCGGCTGAAGGAACGGCCCAACGAGTTCTTCTACAACAAGAAAGTGGCCGGTGTGCAGGTATGTGCCAGTGCGTTCCGTCACTGTGCGCTGCGGCGACGCGCCACTGTACATCTCAGATTTGTCCCTGTGTTTGACTCCCACACTGTGAAGTGGCCGGTGTGCAGGTATGTGGCCAGTGCGTTCCGTCACTGTGCGCTGCGGCGACACTCCACTCTACATCTCAGATTTGTCCCTGTGTTTGACTCCAACACTGTGAAGTGGCCGGTGTGCAGTTATGTGGCCAGTGCGTTCCGTCACTGTGCGCTGCGGCGACGCGCCACTGTACATCTCAGATTTGTCCCTGTGTTTGACTCCCACACTGTGAAGTGGCCGGTGTGCAGGTATGTGGCCAGTGCGTTCCGTCACTGTGCGCTGCGGCGACACTCCACTCTACATCTCAGATTTGTCCCTGTGTTTGACTCCCACACTGTGAAGACGTTTCGGGGTGTACAGGAAAACTCCACAAATTATTAACCTCGGCAGCGGTTGGAGATCTTTTGTCCTGGTTAAAATGGCAGGTGCTTGAAGTTAATCACTCATCGCCATCTGGTGCACAGGTTAGGAATGCGTGGAGCGTTACCTCCAACCCACATAGTATATATTCACTCTTTTGTGGGTTATATAACGGCGCTGTCAGTATGTGTACTAAATATTTGCGGACAGTGGGGTGATGATAAGTTCGATAGGATTTGGAAAAACTGTCTTGGAAGCACTCTAGTGGCATTTGCCTGGAGGGTCTGAGGAAAACCACAGAAAATGATAGAAGAGCCAATGTCCCGGTCTGAATTCAAATGGAGCACCCCTCGAATGCAAGTCTAGCGCTTAAACGCAGGGATATACAACTGTCACCATGGCGGACGGATATTTGTGCAGAACTAATTAAGCACTACGCCATGAAAGCGTATGGGGAAGTGGGTGTATAGATCCACATTTTTCTTGACCTGGGCACTAGTTTGACGTCAGTGGTCAGCTTCATGCCCCGGAGAAAGAGCCCCCGGTACCCATTGGATAGAGGCTGGATGGTCCCCAGAGCCGATCTGGATGATGTGAGGAAAATTCTTGACCGGCTGTCCAGCCCGTAGCCAGTCGCTATACTGACTGAGCTACCCCGGCTCCTTGGCGGAGTGGCGTGTCTGTATAAAATGTTGTTCAGCCCCGCACAACCAGGTCGACTTGAGGGTTCTTCGATTTTGTTAACAGTGTAAAAGGGAATTTGACAGAACATCAGCCAACTATTATAACCTACTGAGTCCCAACGACGGACTGCGTGCGTACACCTTTGAAAGTTAGGTATAATAGTCAACTGCAAAAGAACACAAACCCTTGGAAAGTAGCGTTCGAAGTTAAATAATTCAGCCAAGAATCATACCGTTTCAGATTGATGAGCAGGAATTGCAGAACCCGCAGATCTTTGATTCTAAATGGTTCTGAAGATTGTGTATAATATTCAGAATTTTCTGGGTTTTCGGACTTTGTCCATCCGTCCTGTATTCTAAAAAGTAGAAAAAAACAGAGTTTCGGAAACTGGATATTTCACCCTCACCTGAGAATGGAAACAGATCCAGTTTCCGAAACGTGTTTTCAAGTTTTTAGAATATTTGACGATGGACAGAGTCCGGATACCCAGTAATTCCTATAATCTTCCATTTGATAATAAAGGTAGCTGACAACTGTGATGCGCAAGTGTCGCTGTTAATATTGGGAATTGATCGTGATCTTAGCTACTAATGTTTTTTTTTAAGGAACACACTGTAGTGTGGTGTTGGTTACCCAACTGGTGACAAAACACCTGCTTTAAACATATCGAATGTTTTTCTACTGTCATTTAAAATGCCAACATTTCCAGCTCAATTCAGTACACACCTTCACAATTTGTTCCTCCAGAATTCATTTTAATATTACTCACGCCTAGATCTCCAAAGCAGTATGTTCCCATGTGATTTTCCTACCATAATTTTGCATCTCTCATACTTATAAACGTACATCGCTAAAGTTTCTATTTAATTATGATGCTCTGAGTAAAAGGCTGAGCAGCGTGTCAGTGGCAGATGTTACAGTTTTTCATTCACCTGAACGCCATGCAGCAATGCGATTTTATTTTCCGACTTTTTATACTCCTTCATAGGTGTTCAAAATGCTCACCCATCTGGCAGTTTGATGTTCAAGGAGCAGACTTCAAAAGCACAGTGATTTTGGCTGCGGATATGTTGGCATCTCGTTGTGTTCTCACAATAATAAATAAACCTTATTGTACTGAACTCCGGATCAGCCCTTGACGTATGAGTATGATGATCGAATGCGTGACCTCCCTTTCACACGCAGTCTGTATGTCTTCCAGAGCAACACTAATCCAGTTATATTGAAAGCCTCTGCATCCTTTCACATAAGCAAGGCCTCCTAATTTGAATTCTTCTCTATTCACATTCCAACTACCTGCTAATGATGGCCAAAGACTTGTATCTACCAATAGAAGTTCATTTCAACGGAGACGTGCTATACAAATGAAAACTAATAACGAAAATCATTTCTGAGTAATAATGAACACTATAAAATATCAACACCTGTGCCACGAGAAACGAATTTATGAATATGGACGTCAGTGGCGGTAATTTCTGTAGCATTCGCATTATCCCAGATGTGAGGTCAGAGGAGGCTGATTAAACTCTCAACAAAGGGTATGCAGTACTTTCCTGAATTTGTGTTACATCTCTGCGTTTCTTACGCGAAGACTTTCAGATCGGCTTGGCTACAAGCAAATCGCAATTTGATAGTAAAACTTGGGGAAACAAGAAGGAAGTGAGGGCGTGCTTCTGTTACGAGTGAACACTTTCTACTGTTCAGGTATGTGCATTGCGTTGCAAATCGAGCTGATATGAGCTACATGACAGAAAGGTTGCGGAATGCTGGAACAGCGCTTTTGAGAGTGAACATTTAGGCTAATGTCACACGAGCGCTGTCTCACGTGCGTGAATATTGGCGCACGTCATGGAGGCATACAAATATATGAGAGAAGTCACACGGCACGGACGCGAAGAATGGCGTTGTCCGCGACACGGTGACTTGGCAATACGTGGAAGACGTGGACCTGACGCAACGTGACCCGTCCGCGCTGAGATATCCATTTGTTTATGGTGGTTGTCACACGGGCGCGATAAATAGCGGACGGGAAGTTAGAATATCACGCTGTTTTGTTCAGGTCAGAATGGAAATAGAAATGGAGAAAATGATTTTATTAGGCAAAGTCAAAGTCACATTGCGACTGACGGTCAGTCAGTCTGTCTGTCTTGGTGTCGAGCCCCGACTGGGGCTCATGACCAGATTTTGTTTCTTCTTTATATGAAAGTTACTGTCCTGTTCATTTGGGGCGCCCTCTCTGACGAGAGGTCGGGTCTGTCATTTGTCAGTCATAGTCTGTGTTAGTAAGTCCATTGTCGGCATTTACATATATTTACAAATTTAATCTTAATTCCTATTTCCCATTCCTATGCCATATTTCTAGTAGTATTCGCTACCACGGTAGTCTAGTCACTTGATCGGTAGTATGCCTGACCGCCGCCAAGTTTAAGCCTCTTATACTTTGTGTGTCGGGCTTCGCCTTGTCCGATGTTGCGAACATTCTCATTTTCATGATTTTGTATGACTTCTGCTTGTTTCCTGCATAATTTTGTTATATAGTCATAAACGTACGGGATTTTAAATGCCATGTGCAAATCGCGGACCGGTGTGCGCCTTGGGAAATTGCCAATGGTGCGGAGAACCTTGTTTTTATTAATTTATGGTCGACTTCTTATATAGACTCGGATCTGACCTACAGAAAACCATCGATTCCCTAGCAACCAGTAATGCTGAGTCATTCTCTAGCAACGGAGTGTTGACCAGAATGTTTTCGCGACTGCGTGTTTATCTGGCTGTTACCTAGCAGTAGATTATTCCGGCTTTCAGGCGACATATCACAAAATACTACTTATTACATTATACGAAATACCATTTTTACTTTTAAGCCATTAATGTTCAGTAAACGTTTTCTTTCCTGTCGCTGTGTACTGCCAAGGTACTTGCCCAATATTGCTAACAAAATAATCAGCTAAGGTATCTCGAATTCTCTGCACATTTGCTCGGCTTCCAAGTGTCAATTTCCAATTCAGTGTCTTCAAATCCTACAACATTCAAAGTATCTTCCAACTGAAATCCATCGCGATCACGAACGAAGTTATGCAATACACGGCAGCCTTTAACAATGTCATCTTGAAAATCAACACTCGTCTCCAATGCTCGGGGAAATTTGTTACATAGTATTACAGGCTGATGTCAATAAAATCCATGTGCGCAGCATGAAGCCTCCCCAAAGACTGACTTGGCAATACGTGGAAGACGTGGAATATAGCGCTCGTGTGGCAACCTGCTTCACGTCCGCGGATTTCGACGGAAGAGCCGCGTCCGCTGTTTTCAGCGCTCGTGTGACATTAGCCTTAATAGTTGACGTTATGCATTTGCCCGGCGTTATCAGTTTTGTGCGGCATGACGTGCTGTATATATATAGTGCCTATGAATGTCTAAAACCTTTATTCGAAATATTTCTCTTTCTCAGACAAACACTTCGTGGTGATTATCCAAAAAATTTAAATAACGCAAGCTATAAAACGGACCGAAAGCTAGCGAAGCACTAGTCTAATACAGACCTAAATGTCATGTATCGACTTTCATCAAAATCTCTCATAGAAGGCCAATACATGTACATTCATTTACTAAAATATAACTTTAATGAATAGAAGTAAATGAAACTTGCATTTTACCGCAGTTATACGACTTGTACAGTGACTGGGTGATGGGAAATTTTATCATTGTATATCTGAAGACTCACAAACAGCATCATATTGGGAGACTGGAACAGCATTGTTGGAGATNGACTCAGAAGATAGGTCCTGAACACAAAGATCCAGCTGAACCCTTACGTAAAGTTGTCCTTAAAACGGAATAAAGTAAAAAGAAACGCACACGCTTCAAAATGCCTGTACAACAGATATGTCATGTCATGTATCAGTTTTCATATTCTGTCACAGGGCTAAAAGAATATGTGAAGTATAATTTATTCCCCTAAACAATGTGGCCGATGAAATAAGCCAGACAAAACCAAAACTCCACTCGCTCACAAGAACATAATTTGTTACGTCATATCGAGGCCGGCAGATATCTGTTGGTAGTTGGCTGTTATTTGCAGAGAGACTCATGCGACGAAACGAACAGGTGACTTTCGAAACAGCCTAAATACAAAAAGAGGTACTTAGTGACAGAATAAATGCTTATGCTTGTTAGATTCTTATGGTAAATACTTTCAAAGAAGTCGGCTTCAATTACGTGGTTCTGCAACTGATTATCAGTTACAGCCAAATGTTCAACCAAGTGCTGCCGGCGGTTCCAGTGACGGTGCTAGTAAAGATCCTAGCAGCACATGTTTCACATTCGTATAATTGGCACTGATTCCACGTCGAGACTTGTCTGTGTTCTACAGAGTTTCTAGATCCCTATTCAGAGAAGGGGTAATGCTCTCCGCACAAAACTATGTACATACCCCGAGCATCATTCAGGTTAGCAGTTCCCGTGTTGGAAACATCTGAGCCTGTGCGCGCTTCAAAATGCGCGGCCACTGGCATAGAATACCATACAGCCAGAGCCAGATGCCCCCCCCCCAAATAAAACACCCCGTGGCAATTAGTCCGCAAGCGAACTATACCGACCGAGCGACCGCAGCTTGTCGGTAAAGTTAGTGCCAACTTTAGCGGATAGAGGATGTCACGTGGTCAGCGCAACGGATCCCCACGGCCGTTAATCTCTGTTTTCTAGACCGGAGCCGCTATTTCCTTGAAATAGATTCTCAGTTATACTCACAAGGCAGAGTGGACACCGTTCCAGACCCACTACTTAGAACATTTGGTAGCGCCGGGAATAGAACTCGGGACCTCAGGATCTGTAGTCAGGAACTCTGACCACTAGACCACAGAGGCGGTCCCCACAAAAAGAAAGTCACTAAAACAAATAAATATGATTATGCGAGAAGCCAAATTTCTAGGTCAGAAATTATGTGAGTATGTGTTATTCTTTACTCTAACGGAGTTCCACACTGGGGAAGAAGACTGAAAGAAATTACGCATCTTAGCATTTCTACTGAGCTTGGAAACAAAGAAGCAAACAAACAGAGTGAAAGAACGAAAGAATAAAAAAAGAAATAAGGAAAGAACGGAATGAAGAAATAACAAATATGCTTAAGATATGGGACGTAAAGTTTAATTCATGATTGTAACATAACATACATCTGGCCGTCCATTCCTGAAGTGACCTGTGTATAACTTGCAGCAATGGGAGCGGTTGATGTAAGGCAGAAGGAACAGAGACAGTTTCCAGGGCTGACACCGAAACGTTACTCCACGTCATCCGTCCATATCGCACCTCGAATGTAAATGGCATATTTGCTGCTTACGTCACGGTTCCTGTTTATAAACCGCTTCCTGCGGGGAACATCCCTACAGACAACAATGTTGTGCCGACTTAAATAAATATCTGTAGACAAGACGAGGCTCGGACTCCCTGCAGATAACATCCTTACCATGGTGCCTCCTCAGCAGTAAATAAAAAGAAGTAGAGCTATCCCGGTAACAGGCCGTGAAGGCTAATAGGGTTGTGAGATGCTGAGGGTCCCACATTATCTACAATTGGCTCAAAGATGGCGGTAAGGTTGTCAGCCTTACGCGCCGGCCGCGCTTTACTCCCCAGGTAAATTAATTAATTCCTGGTACTCATTTCTGTTAGAGGCTGAGTCGACCCCAGGGCCATAGTGCGGCTGGAAGGATTAGGTCAATTGAAAAAAAATCCAATGACCTCATCGGGACTTGAACCCGGGACCTTCCTGCTGGTAGCATAGTGCCTCAACCAACTACGCTACCGGCCGCGACACAGCTCAAGCGGTTAGACGCTGGCTTCCCACCGCGGCGTCCCGGGTTCGATCCCGGGTCTGGCCAAGTGCGATTTGTGATGGAAAAAGTGGCGCTGGGGCGGGTTTTCTCCGTGTACTTCGGTTTCCCCTGCCAATCTTCATTCCACCAAATTCTTCATCATCATCATAATCACCCGAGGCAGGCTACAATAGGCCAATCAGTGGCCGCTGTGCCGAGTGGACCCAATTGGACTCCACCCCCCGCTATGAGCAACCTGTTCCTTTGCTTAAATAATTAAACGCCACGTCATTACGNTATTGATAAACCGTTACAGTGAGTAGTGGCCGTTGGGCGTAATGCCCAAATCTCCTAACCAAAGTGGGAAGCAAGTTACGATTTACCCAGAAAGAAACCTTCCAAACACAGCCTTCTGGTAAAACCCATTCATTAAGTTTATGAATAGGAGAAAATTATTTTTTTTTGTAAGGGACTCACAGTCTGTCCTTATATGTGAATTGAGAAATGCATATAAAATTTTAATGTGAAACCCGAAGAAACGATACCATTTTGTGAGACTGTGTGTAAATGGGAGGATAAAATTAATGCGGATCTTGCGGAAATATGGTATGAGGATGTTGCCAGGATTCATCTGAAGCAGAATGGACTGCAGTGAGCACGGAAATGTGCCGTGGGATATCGTAAATATCGTAAAGGATTGTGAATTTCTTAAATAGCTGAGCGATTATTAGCTTCTCGGGGAGGGATCTGCTGAGCGGAGTTTGTGTCTGAGTGTACACGCACTGTTCAGACATGTTTCATTTACTGCCGCCGGAAGTAGCCGCCATTTACGTAGCAACAGTGAAAGACAATGGTGATGATGTGTGTTGCAGATCTTGCTGGCGCAGCTGACGAGGCAGCCTGAGTACATGGAGGCGGCACAGGCTTTCTGCGACTTCACGGTCGACTACCAGAAGAGGACCCCTAAGGGACTTGTCTACATAGACAAGTTCGGGACCTTGTGCCATGCTGCGAACGTTGCTTTCGTGTGCCTGCAGGTACTTATATCACTCTTACACCAAGATTTCCCCTCTGCGCTTTTAAGATTTCGTATTTCTGCAACGGAGAGATTGATACACGAATTACGAATAGTCGACTCCTTGACACAATCTCTGCCTTGTGCATTGGACACTCACCTGACTAAGAGTGTGTTTATGGATTCTGGAAGAATCTGTGCTCTGGTAGTCAGAGTTCCTGGCTGCAGATCCAGAGGTCCGGGTTCGATTCCCGGCGCTACCAGATTTTCTGAGAAATAGTGGTCTGGAACGGGGTCCACTCAGCTTCGTGAGGATAGTTGAGATATTTCAAGGAAATAGTGGCTCCGGTCTAGAAAACCGAGATTAACGGCCGTGGGGATCCATTGCGCTTACCAAGCGACATCCCCTATCCGCTGAAGTTGGCACGAAGTTCGCCGACAAGTGGCGGTCACTCGGTCGGTATAGTTCGCTTGTTTGTATAGCAGCTGTCACAAAATCTTACCACTATACCATATCCTGAGACAGGTTTATATATTTCCTTAAAAACCATTTATAGTTCTTCCGCCTGTCTGTAGGCATAGATGCCCCACATGAAGTCAGAAATAGGATCATTAGTTTTGGAGACTAAACATGAAGATAGCAGGCAGACACAACCTCCTGTTCAGGCTTTCATTTTGTACGCCTTAAAGCGTCTGTGTACAAAACTGTTTTGTCTAATTCGCATGTCTGCTGCAGGGAAAGCTACTTGTATTTATAAAAACAAGGATAAAAATAAGGCGATGCTTGTTGTTTTCGACTAAGTTCTCACAGTCTGGCTTTCGGACTGTGTTGTTTCAGGCAGCGGACGCAGGCATCTCTCCTACCAAATACCGCGAGTTCGCCCGTCGACAGATCGACTACATGCTGGGCGATTCGGGGCGGAGTTACGTGGTGGGCTTTGGTTACAATTATCCGAAGGAGCCTCATCATGCTGCTAGGTAGGCCTTGCGTGGTTAGTAAACAGGTGTTATCCCTTCTTGCCTCCCCTCTTCTCCTTCTTCTAACGCTTGTCATTTCCCTGTTATCATTGTTCCTCTTTTGTATTGTCTCGTTTTGGGGTGTGTGTGACTAGACGGGGTTTGGATTGGTGACTGGATTTATTGACTGCACTTTACAGATCACTTGACACACGCATACTAGTGTCCTTAATTTTTTTAATTAGCATAGGTGAGGTGTGGATTCCAGCTGGGTCCACTGGGCACAGCGGCCACTGATTGGCCTATTATACCTGCCCCCGGGTGATTATGATAATGGCGAATTTGGTGGAATGAAGATCGCCAGGGGAAACCGAAGTACTCGGAGAAAAGCCTCCCCAGCGCCAATTTGTCCACCATAAGTACCACTTGACCAGACCCGGAATCGAACCCGGGCCGCCGCGGTGGGAAGCCAGCGACTAACCGCTTGAGCTATGGCGCGGCCTACTAGTGTCCTTAGTCTGTTACAGTCTCTACTAGCCGTTTCCCGGCAACGGCTTTACCGAGGAAGTTTTTTCACCTTACCGCATATCTTACCACTGTGTTATTTCTGCTCGAATTACATTGCTTGTGGCAGAGAGGCAACAGACACTATAACCAGGTCCTAGGAACAAAATTCCCACTCTAGGGTATAAGGACTTACTGGTCTGTTTCAGCTCGTGCCCCACGCGGCCAGCACCATGCGGTTGGGACGCTTTCAAGTGGCCCCGGGAGAACCCGCAACTACTGAAGGGCGCTCTGGTTAGCGGGCCCGACGAGAATGATTACTACAAGGATAAACGCGAGGAGTACGTATACAACGAGGTGACCCTCGACTACAACGCGGGCTTCCAGTCTGCTGTTGCAGGTCTGCGGCGGCTCCAATTGGAAGGCATCGACAACAACAGGACGTAGATAGAGGGCTGGAGGTCGCGCCTACCTTGCTCGAATATTATAGAATTCAAGTCAAATTGAATTCTGTGTACACTTGATTGCGAAGAAATTAGTGTGTGCCATCATCATGTTTGTTTCTGCACAGTAGGGCTGGTGAGATTTATTGCCTGCTGGTGCCAAACTTGCCAGTGTCATATGGTGACGTCACTCTTTCGTGTTCCGACCTGATCTAGGAAGACCCTTCTCACAACATATTTCAATTAGTTATTTTATTCTGGTCCACCGCTTTCTCGGATAAGTGAGAGTGTCACTTTAGTATTTCTTCCAGTCAGTTTTGGCCGTGCTGTTGCGAAGAGATTCTGTCTGAAGAACAAGAAATCATTATACCGCTCATCATAAATTTGAGTAACTTTGACATATCAAACAACACCACAATTTCACTTATTTTTAATTAAACGGCTGTGGAAGATTGTGATGTTTGTTCATAAGTAATCAAGTTCAGTTTATAAGAATATGTCTGGACCGTTATGCTTTATATTAAACGTTAAAAAAGGGCCTCTGAAGACGATCGTATAGAAACTAAACATGCGAGGCGATTTTACTCACTCAGCCTTTTGGCAAAGTTCGTTACACTAGATGGTTGTCTTGTGCTTAAACAATTAACCAAATTTAGATTAAACACTACAAGCAGTGAAGAACAGAACCAAGGCTATGTTATTGCGGCGGCCCGGGTTCGATTCCGGGGTCTGGTCAAGTTGGATTTGTGGTGGACAAAGTGGCACTGGGTCGGGTTTTCTCCGAGTACTTCGGTTTCCCCTGCCAGTCTTCATTCCACCAAATTCTCCATCATAATCACCCGGGGCAGGCCACAATAGGCCAATCAGTGGCCTCCGTGCCGAGTGGACGCAGTTGGACTCCATCCACCACTAAGCGAATTTAAAAAAAGGCTATGTTATTGTTGTGCGTTACACCGGAAAGAGACCATTTCATAGAAAGATACGTCATATCTTCAGTGACACTGATGTTGCGAATTCGTACAATTCAGAGTCACACAGATGCGGGCCAATTTTCAGTCAATGCCACCGGCTCACTATAATTGCTGTACTTCTCTGCTGAAACAATTTTTGTTTACGTTATACTGTGAGGAGTTACAAATATATTGATTTTACAATCTAATTTATAATCTATCAAATGTTTCGTCTATAATGCAACAATCAATAACATTGATTCACACTTTTATATCACACAGTGGTCGTTAAGATGTTATATAAAACTATTAAAATATTAAAATATATATGCATTAATATAATGTTATATATTTTGACCTCCTCTCACATGAAGAGGAAAAACAAAAAAATGAAACGAAAGTAATGAATTACATTCGATTAGTGCGCAGTGCATTAGGATTCCTCACATAAGTATTACATGAAGATGGCTGTATAATGCCGAAACATGTAGCATTACATTAATGCATATAAATTTTAATAATTTTATGTAACATCTTAACGACCATTGTGTGATATTGAAGTGTGAATCAGTGTTACTGATTGGTGCATTATAGACGGAACATTTGATAGATTATAAATGGAACTTCAATGCAGCGGATGCTTAAATATAATATTATTTTACAATCTAAATCGTTCTGTTCGCCACACACTTTTAAATACAGTTAATAAACTGTACTAATCAGCAAAAGGGACATCTCCCAATCGTATGACAAAGGCTTGGGGCTTTGCTGTGTCTGTTCTTCAACCTTTATTTATATATGTAACAAAATACAGCTGAAATACTTGCAGTGTATATGGCCGACCCTTAAACATCTTCATATTCCGAAATTTGATTTACCCTTTACATAAGGCGCTAAGTTTTGACGGCTTTCATATTCCAGAACAGTATGGTAAACATTTCAGCAGGTTCGTCGTAATTGTAATTGAAATGAAGGTCGTAGTGATGATCTCTTAAATACAAGAAATCTGGGAAGGATTAATCACCTGCTTTCTTTCGATACGACTCGAATCGCATATAAAATGACGGGTCCAACAATTCTTCTATTGTTGCATGTGTATTCATTGCCGCGGAAAAGTGTTTACCGATCCGTTGTCTACAAACGGTAAGAGGGACCCATACGGACACACAGACAGCAAAGTGATAACATAAACCTATTTTCATTGTTTCAGAATGGATAAAGTGAGCTAAAAATCTGCTTATCAAGTCTCTAGGCCACCATTCCGATGGCAGTTAGGTTGGTCCTCAGACAACAAGCAGCACGCCACGGTTCTAGAGTAAGAAATCTATTGTTTAGGATATTTCTAAGTTAATTTTTCTAGCTCAGTATAAGAAAGATTTATTTAATGAGGAAGTATGAAGTGTATAGTCTCTGGACTGAATTATAAAGGGCATGGAAGAATCGGTCATTCCTGTTTCAAAGTAAGTGCTGGAGGCACTGCCGAGTATTTTGTCGTAGGGTTGAAATTCGAACTCGCTATCTGTCGAATAGGAAGCAGCTATGATGATATTCTGCATTAATATCAGTTTCATATGTATTAGACAAGATTTTGGCAAAGTTGTCTGGAAAGACAGGACATTTATTCCGTATATATCCCCATGTACGTATGTACAGAATGGTCGTCTGAGAATCTGCCACAAATCGTTCGGCCGGTCGGTCGGTCTGGGGCGAGACAACGCTACTCGCACTATCTCCCACTGCGAGCGTTCGGACTCAGGACTTGCTTAACAGGTCAGTAGCTCCCAACAAATCTTCGAACAGCTACTGTGAAGTGATCGTAGGTGTTGACCACAGTCCTAAAACTCTGCCCTGTATTAAACATCCTGTCAGGCGCGTTACTTCTTTTTCGAGGCTCCACGCGGGAGTTACTAATTGAAACAAGTGTTCATTTGCGATACAGTTGGGGAAAGTTCCAGTATGAATTTCCCTATTGGTTGGAAGTTCTGTAGGCGACGAAGTTTCCGAATGGATCAATAATATCTGTAACATTTATGACCCCCGCTGTTTTGTGTTCAAGTCAGATGTATGTTTCCAGAATGAATGAACTCTGTAACGCACCTAAAGATGACCTGTTCACGTCCTGTGTAAGAGGCTACACATGAATGTTTACTTTTGTAAGAAGAATGCGCTAACATTCCGTATGCATTTAAGTTCCATTCTCAATTTGCGACTTACATATGTCCTCCAAGAACATAACATTGACTTCTTCAGTTTGCACTAAAATAAATTCATAAGGATTAATTCGGCAGAAAAACAAACTTGTATACCTGTAGCTACTGATCCTGCAAAGTTGATTTTAAGTCCCTCTACTAACGTAGATGCTCATCGCCATACATAGAAGGCTGTGAACAATGGATACTAGTGCAGTTGGGTAAAAATAAATGCAGAAACAAGAATTTTTCGATAACTATGCAAATACCGTTGATGTGATCATTGATTTAGGTACTTCAGATGAGAGCAGATGTTGAACGTGTATAAAAGGACTTAAGGAGGAGTAAGAATGGGTGATCTTGTGTAGAGGCTCGGGAAATTTGAGCAGTTTTAGTGTGAACAGGAGTATTGTAGGAGGCTGTGATATAGGTGAATAAACTGAAACTATAAACGTGATCATGTGATTGCCTGTTATCTTATGAGATGCTTAACCGAATTACTGGAGTGGAAGAAAAATATTGCTTGCCATAATAACAAAGAAGAGGCTAACTTTGTGATTAACATGGCTCAACACTCATGTGTACATATGTGACGTGTATTATAGCATGTGTCCAGTGATGGATCATGTAAATAAGTGGAAATGTAAAGAACAGTAGTTTTATTTTGCTTGGATTGATAAATATGGCCATCATGAATGTGTGTCTGTTTGTGTACATAAATATGCACATTTTAAAAGCTCAATAATAATCATTGTTGAATTGTGTAAAAATATAATGTGTATCCATTAATATGAATTGCCATAATTACGGCGAAACAATGATAACAGCTAACAAAGCCGTCAAGTTGCCATAGTAACGGCGTCGTGTTTTGTTTTTGATCATAGTTTGTGAGTAACCTTTGTAGTAATGAAAATAAAATAAAATGTGTAGTATACAATATTAATATTTCTGTAATATAATTAACTTTACATAACGACTTGTACATTTAAACTTCTTTTTACATTGTGAGCTAGTGTGTTCGTCTACTGATAACGTAGGTTTGAACTGGCTGGTATGCAGTTCCCAATATTCTGTGGAAAATTCTTAGGAAAGAGAACACGGGACATAATTGAATTAAGATGATATTCAGGAAACCGGTTCTACGATGTGAAATTAATGAAGAAAACATAATATAATGCCTGTTTTTGGACGGTTTACTGACTGGAGGACCGCCTCTGTGGTCTAGCAGTCAGAATTCATGGCTACAGATCCAGAGGTAAGATTTTCTGAGAAGTAGTGTGTCTGGAACGGGGTCCTCGTGAGAATAATTGGGAGCTGTTTCAAGGAAATGGCGACTCTGGTAAAGAAACTGGAGATTAGCGGCCGTGGGGATTCGTTGCACTGACCACGCGACACCCTCTATCCGCTGAAGTTGGCACTAACTTCACTCACAAGCGGCGGTAGCTCAGTCGGTATATTTCGCTTGCGGACTAAGAAAAAACCCCAGTTCTCTCTAATTTCCTAGCAAAAATAGAACATATGTGAGCGGTAAGAATTTAAGACGTAACCAGTGGTTCCATCCGATAGTAACCAGGTTGCTTCTGTTCGACAACAATTCGTGCTGCAAAGTTAAAATATGTTGAAGTTACATACAATAACGACATTGAGATTCGTTGGAAATGCGACGAAGTTTACGAGCAGGAAAATGTAGAATTTCTTGTACAGCAGCTCCTTCTTTCAGGAATGAGGGCACATTGGGTTACACGGACAACATGAAGAGCCTCACGCCGTCACAATAAGAGCGGAACCTCTGTAATTTAACTCGTATTATTTATAAATATGTCGCATTGTTATTCGATTATTTATGCTTACATGTCGAAAAGCTTCAGGTATAGTAATTCCACAGCTCAACCACTCTGCTCGCATGCGTCAGGACAGGAAGCGCATTCTTACCTGAAACAAACAAAAAGGCAGTTCACTTTACAGCATATTCAGTACATGACAAAACCAATACGTCAATATATCTGAATGCTGAGCCTACGCTTGTTTATATTAAGGTCACAGTGAAATATGCTCCTGCGTTCAGACTCTGCCTCATTTCAAAATATTTGACGTTACCAAATTTTGTAGGAGCCGGGAAAGCTCAGCCTGTATACCGATGTGCTACGGGATGGACGGCCGGGGTTCGATCCCCGACAGGGATAACATTTTTCTCTTTACAAAGTACGAACTGGCACTGGGAGCCCACCCAGCCTCGCATCCAGTGGATACTGTGGACGATTTCACCGGGGGTAAAACTGTCGGAACATGAGGCTGACCACTCCGTCCAGTGCCGAGGTCAAGAACGGTGGAACTGTACTTCCATTCCCCCATACGTCTTCATGGCGTAGTGCTTGGCCTTTTACAAAATGTTGTTGAACTACAGTTAAAAGATGAGCCGGAGTAGTGTAGTGCAGTCGGTATAGCGACTGCCTACAGGCTGAACGACAGAAGGGTTGGAGTTCGAGTCCCGGTAGGGTCAGAATTTTTCTTCTCCATATCGTCCAGACTGGTTCTGGGGCCCACTCAGCCTCCTATCCAATGGTTACCAGGGATAAAGCGGCAAGAACGTGAAGCTGACCACTCACCTCCAGCTAGAGCCGAGGTCAAGAAAATTT